CAACAGCAATAATTAAAATAAAAATATAATAATTTTCAAAACCAATCCGTAGTGCGTTCCTGGTTTTGGCGCGACACTACCGCGTCGCGCAGCTACCCTAATTTGATTGCAGTAAGCTTTTTATTGATTGCACATGATGGGAAAATAATTCTGTAACTCATAACTAACATGTTCGCAATTTATTCATTTTATCTATCCTTTTAGAATTCTCAATGCCGGTCTGAATTATATATGATCAAATCCCGCAATTAGTAATAAGCAATTTACGGATATCTTGCATGATGCACGAATAAAGTGAAATCTGTGGCATCCTCAAATTCCTTTGGTTAATATGTAGAATGTAGGTAAACCTTTCTATTTAAATTTTGTAAAATAGTTTTAGATTTGTCTTACCACTCATTATTTAAATAATTCATCAAAATAAGATCTGAGCCAAATGTTTGCAAGTGCGGAATTTTATATAGATTTATTCCAAAAATTATGATAATATGAGTTAGCTGTTTGTAAAATTTCTAAATTCCGCGAAATAGCGTATGGGATCTCACGCATGCCTATCTCTATCTGTAATATTATCCACTTTTTTTTTTAGAATTCTATGATATTCTGCGGGCAGTTGTATTTGGAGAAAATTCTGCTTTTTTCTGTGTCACAGAAAATCATCGTTACTGATACTAAAATTTAGAGCCTTAATTTGTGAAATTTTTTATAATCGCATTAATTCACAGAAATCATCACAAAACGCATCATAGAATTGTTAAAAAAAATCAACATTAAAACATGAAATTGACGCAGAAAATCATCGGCCTCTGCAAAGACAACATAACAATTATTACAACTTATTACAGAAAATAATAACAACTTCAAAAATTGCTTTCAAAAAATTTCAGATACAAAGAATTTATTATACATTCTCGTAATAACAAAACTTTACTATTTTATTAGCACATGCTATTAGCTAATTTTTGATAATTAAGAAATGCTTTATATTCATCTTTTTCAACACCAATTCCATTTAGATAACAATAAGCAACACTATATGTTCCATCAGAATCTCCCATATTAGCAGATTTTTTATAATAAGTAAATGCCTCATGTTCATTTTTTTCCACGCCTATTCCACGTTGATAGCAATAACCAACCATAAATACTCCATCAACCATTTCCATTTCTGCCAATTTTTGATAACAAGTGAAAGCTTTGTATTCATTCTTTTCAACACCAATTCCATATTGATAACAATAACCAACCATATATGCACCATTAGTATCACCCATTTCAGCAGATTTTAAATAATAAATGAATGCCTTATTTTCATCCTTTTCAACGCCAATTCCATTTTGATAACAATAACTTACATTATAAGTTCCACGAGCATTACCCATATCAGCAGATTTTTGATGATAAATGAATGCCTTATGTTCATCTTTTTTAACACCAATTCCATTATTATAACAATAACCAACTTGGGACATTCCAGCAGCATCACCCATTTCAGCAGATTTTTGATAATAAATGAATGCCCTAATTTCATCCTTCTTAACACCAATTCCGTTTTGATAACAATAACCAACATTATAAGTTCCACTAGCATCACCCATATCAGCAGATTTTTGATAATGAATGAATGCTTCATAATCATCACTTTTAACACCAATTCCATGACGATAACAATAACCAACTTGAGACATTCCAGCAGCATCACCCATTTCAGCAGATTTTTGATAATTAATGAATGCTTTATAATCATCTGTTTCAACTCCAATACCATTTTGATAACAATAACCGACATGATAAGTTCCACAAGCATTATTCATATCAGCAGATTGTTTATAATAAATGAAAGCTTGATTATTATCCTTTTCTACACCAATTCCATCAAGATAACAATGTCCAAGATAAAATATTCCATTAGTATGACCCATTTCGGCCGATTTTTTATGATAATAAAAAGCTTTAATTTCATCTTTTTCAATACCTATTCCTTTTTTATAACAATAACCAAGTTTATTTATTCCATAAGAATCACCCATATTGGCTGATAATTGATAATAAAAGAATGCTTTGTATTTATCTTCATTAACACCAATTCCTTTTTCATATAATTCACCAAGATCAGTTATTCCATAAGAATTTCCCATATCAGCAGATTTTTGATAATAAATAAAAGATTTATCACCATCTTTTTCAACCCATTTACCATAACGATAACAACGAGCAAGAATAGTTAAAATTATAGGATTCATTTGATTATTTAAACATAAATTAATTAAATCATCTGATTTTAAATGATTATTTTTCATATATTGTTCTATTGAATTAAGAAATTCTGGATCATAATTTCCTTTCTTTACTTCTTCTTCATGTAAATTACATAAATCATCTAAAATTTTTTTATTTATGTAATCTTGAAATTCATTATCTTGATTTTGATAATTGTGAATTTCGTTTTTTGTTGATAGTTCCACAAGTGAGTTATTGCAAATAATTGGTAAATTTTCGTTTTGCATTATTAATGAAGAAATGTTTTTTTTGGTTGATTGATTGAGAATTGAATAGTTATTTTGCAATATGAAATTTCTTTAAAATTTAATTTTTCGGTATCCGTTATTAAAGATAAAAAAAAAAAAAACAGTACTACGACCATATCGGAATCAATAAAAACTAATTGCGTGATGTGCATGTACAGTGTACCCAGATCAGTGTTACGAACCAGGAGACTTCATGTGATATCATCGCCACTTTAACTTATTTCGTCAAAGAAAGAATGATTTAGGAACTCTCTACCATGGTTCCGAATCAGACCCATGGCCTCAACTTTACTAAAAAATTTCACTGGCCAATCAAAATTTCGGGATCAGATGTAATGCAAACAAAGATTTATCTACAGTAGGAAATTGTATTCTGCGTATTGAAAAAAAGAAAATTAAGAAATTTTTCATCTGAATTAATATCACCTCCATGTGCTGTTACGTAGCGCACAAATCAACTCCGATTAAAGAAATTTTTTGCTATGAATCGTATGCCTAATATTGATTGATGTTATCTGATATATTATATTAGATATATGCCTAATATTGATATTATATTAGAACGTGTTGATTTTGATGTCGAAACTGTGCAATCTCGTGAAAAAAATTCCAAAATCACGACCATATCGATATGGAAAAAATAGTTTTTAGATTTGATCTTAAATGCAGGTCGTGCTGTCTATTAAGATCATATTGTCCCAATTAAGAGATGCATGAAGTTGTAACAATAAAAAATGCATAAATCAGCTGTGCCATGGTATTCAGTACTTATATTGATGTATTGAAACTATATCTGGCGATGATGATGTAAGTATTAATAAGACTTTTACGATTTCTTAATATATTTGCGATACTATATACAATTAAAGGCATAAAAAACTTTGTGGATCATCACGACCAGACCTCAACGCCGTGACACGGTGAATTTGTATTTTCGCCATTAGTATACTTCAACGCTGAAATCCAAGATGTGACAAAATTATTATTATTAAATTTATTAATGTTATCTAAATTTTAATGGAATCTTATACCAAGAACGTCGACAAGAATTTTATAAACAAATAAGTTTATATATTCCTGCAAGAATTTAATGTATCAATCAATATAAATGTACATTTTGCATTATTTTTCCGTAGAAGAGGTCGGCTCATTTAGCTGTTGACCTTCGGGTATAAAAGCGAGAATTCGAAGGTTTTTATTTTCACATTGTAAATCGATTTCAGTTGATTAAGACAAAAATGATAATTAAATTAATATATATATCTCTTATATTATTTATTTCAAGTAATTCAGCTCGAATAAATTGGTATCCATATCATAGTCAATCAGATGAATGTACCTATATTTCTTCAAATATGCTTAAAGTTCTTAAGCCTTTACCACCAACCGATGGCCCGGTGGCTCGGTGTTATAACATAGAATTAATAATAAAGGAATTGGCTCCTGATGGATATACCCGTTTAGTGTAAGTCCCATAAATTATAAAGTTAATTTCTTCCTGCTTTTCATAATGATTTTATTCTCATAACATTTAGATGGACTGTTAACGGTCAATATCCGGCTCCGGTAATTCAAGCAAACTATGGAGACAGACTTCTCATCAATGTAACCAATAAACTTGGGTATCCATCCTCAGGTAAATTAAATAATCCTATTCCTATTACCTGTTCGTCCTGTTCATATGAAAATTTTTAATTTCTAATTTTTTTTAAGTGCATTGGCATGGTATATTTCAAAATGGCACAAACTTTTACGACGGAGTTGTAGGTATGACGCAATGTGCGATCCCTGATGGTGTTTCGTTTCTCTACAATTTTACCGTTCAACAATACGGTAAATTTCTTTTAAATTATATGATTTATCAGTAATAATAATATTTTATTCATACTTTATATGGATAAATAATAATCAAGGCACTTATTGGTATCATTCCCATTTCCTGGGTCAAATTGTTGATGGCCTCAAAGGTCCTCTAATAATTCATTATCGCAACGATCCTTATCTTGGAAAATACGATTTCGAATATGTAATGACATTGTCAGATTGGTATCATACTCTGTCCAGTGATATTCTTAAACTTTTTCGTGCTGAAGATTATAAAGGATTTGATCCTCTTCCTGATTCCGGTGAAATTAGTGGTTTTGGACAATATGATTGTAATACTGCCCCTAAAAATTCAACATGTAACCCGAATAATAAAATCGCCACTTATGTTGTTCGACAGGGTAAAAAATATAGATTTAGAATTATTAACATGAGCTCATTAGTTCACTTCATACTTTCAATTGATGATCACCCGCTAACGCTTTTTGAAGTTGATGGTGAATTAATAAAACCTGTCACTCTAAATACTATTCCAATTAATATTGGGCAGCGATATTCTGTAATTCTTAATGCTATTAAACCAATAGATGTTTATCAGATTCGTGCAAAAATATCAATTTGTACACCGATCAATAATCAAACTATAAATTATGATACTGCGTTAAATTATAATATAATGGGAATTTTGAAATATGAAGGTGCTAAAGTTAAACTTCCAACTTCGAACGCTTTTTTTTCGAACGTGTCAGAAGAATGTAGAGATATTGATCCAAATACTTTAAAGTCATATTACACGAGAAAACTACCTCAAATCATTATTTCTAGGATTGACTTAATGGTTTCTTTTGGTAAGACAGCGACTGGAAAAAAGCATGCTCTAATAAACAATTCAAGTTATGTAAGTTTCCAAGCATCGAAGTGTCGATTTATGTGCAAATTTAATTAATTTTCTCATCGTTAGGTACCTAACTTTAATTATCCAACAAATCAAAGAATTATTGAAGGAGTAAACCCATTCAATCTTCCACAATATGATAATGCCTATGTGTATGAATGTAACACTACAGATTGTGATGTTACAGGCGTTGATATTTATATTATTAATAATACTAGTGACCCTCATCCGTTCCATTTGGTATTGTTAATTAATTTATTCTTTTTATTTTTTTTCAAGGCATGCTTCTAACTTTTTTTATTTAATAAAAAAGCATGGACACAACTTTTTTGTTATTTACAACGGAAAAAGCCAAACAGGTCTTGAACCGCCACGTAAATCAAGGTTTAATTTAATTGATCCTTCTTATCGTGATTCAGTAACAATTTTAGCAAATAGGTACGTACGTACGTATGTATGTAGTTATTTTGTACTTATCGTCATCGCGCTAATCCACGATGAATTTATTTATTTTAAATAAACTAATGCTGACGAGTAATTTTCTATTTTTTTTTAGTACAACAGTGATCCGCTACTTTGTAAATAACCCTGGTGCATGGTATTTCCATTGTCACATACATTGGCATTTTGAAATGGGTATGAGTGTGCAACTAATTGAAAAACCATCGTTGCTCAAAAATATTAGTATCCCAAATGATGTTGCCGCGCTTTGTAATTTTTGACAGATTAACGTGTTTTTAAAAAATTATCTTTTAGTAAAATTTCACAAGGAATGTCTTTGAATTAATAAATTATGCCTGGACCCTTTTATCTTAATGCTGGCCAGAATTAATAGTAATTTAGTAACTTACCATTAAATTTTATGGTAACTTACCGTGGTAAGTTACCACTAACGAGCTTTTTTTTATAAAATTATTAGGTAAAATTCTACATCAATCTACATAATCTTATATGACTTTACATAATATCTTTACGGATCTTCAGACAAAAAGTTGCATAAATTTATATAAATTGTTAAGAGACTTTAGCTTACGTACTTAAATTTATATCAAACAATTACATAATACTATTGTCACCTAACGTTACGTAAATATATGGACCTTCGAAGTTCGTGATGCATCACCTCATCACCTCATCACATCGACCATAATTCTAGTCAAAATATATGTACTAGATCTGGCCAAATAATTTGCAAATTTTGACCAAAATTATGAACGAGATCCTAAACATGTGTAACACAATAATGACATCAATATATATTTTAGACAAAAGATGGCTGTGTAGATTACGGTTTAAATACTGTAACAGAGAAAACAATTTGAAAGTTACAGTATATCAAACTCTTTAATCTTTTCAAAATGATAACATTACCAAATGAATGCCTTTATGAAATTTATAATAATCTCCGGTCTTATGTTGGAAGTTTATTTTCATGTCTTCTCGTCAACCGTCAACTGTGTAGAGTTATTGTACCAATATTATGGAGTAAACCAAAATTTAATGATAAAAGATTTATATCAATCTGTCTTTTAGCGTTAAATTATGAAGAACAAGCACAATTAATCCCTTATAATATAATTCTTCAAAATAATCAAAAACCATTATTTGAATACACTAATTATATTACATATTTTGAAAATGATGATTATAATAATTTGATATCTGGAATCAATAGTTGGCTACGAAGTTTTAAGAATGAAAAGAATAAAGAACCTGGATTTTTTTGTATGATGCATCGTCGATTTCTTACAGCTGATGAACCTACAAGGGCTATTTTATGTTCTTTATTTACGATGTTTCTAAGAACAAGTACTAAACTTAGAAATTTAACTTTTAATGGAATCATTTATAACAAGATAATGTTTGTAGAAAATCTTTATAAGAACACTACACTTATCTCTTTAAAACTTTTTAATAATGATTTTAATTCTGAAGAAAGGAAAGTAATTTTAGAGGCGCTTTTTAAAAAATCCACTCTGACTTCCTTAGTATTTGAAAATAATCGACTTGGTCCCGAAGGAGGAAAATTACTTTTACAAGTTCTTTGCAATAACATTACTCTGACTTTCCTAAATGTTGCATTCAATCAACTTGGCTTTGAGGGAGTAAAATCGATATCAAAAGCACTTCGTACCAACTCTACATTGACTTCTTTAGACCTTTATGATAATCAACTTGGTTACGAGGGAGGGAAAGTATTAGCGAAAGCTCTTTGTACGAATACTGCTTTGAGTTCTTTAGATATTGGATGTAATCAACTAGGTTCTGAGGGAGGGATAGCAATAGCAGAGGCTCTTCGTATGAACACTTCCCTAACTTATATAAATCTTTACGATAATGAATTCGATTCTGGAGTAGGAAAAGCAATAGCAGAGGCTCTTCTTGTAAATTCTTCTCTGATTTCTTTAAATCTTAATCATAATGAACTTGATTCTAATGGAGGAAAAGCAATAGCAAAAGCGCTTTGTAAAAATACTACTCTAATTAATTTAGAACTTAATTTTAATCAACTTGGATTTGAAGGGGGAAAAGCATTAGCGGATGCTCTTTACAAAAATAGATCTTTGAAATCTTTGTCTATTGGTCATAATGAAATTAGTTATAAACACATAGATAAATTAAGTAGAATATTTGGCAAAAATGATGCTCTTAAAGTCGATTATTTTGTAATATAATGATGAAAAACTCTTATGTTAACGTGATTTAAGATTTGCACTTTTCGAAATTGCATATTTTAGTCAGCTTGGTAATATTAAATATAGTAGGAAAGATTAGTTTTCTTAAATTTTGCTTTTGCTTTTTTTTTTTTCTTAATTGTAATATTTAAATAAATAAAGATCAATGCTATATTTAAATGAATGCTTTTATTAGGACGTTAGGTGTAGAATTTATCATTAACTGTCGTGGATGATGGTGATGGTGAATGTGGATGGGTCCCTATTAAATATATTTAAACCCACTTATTCCGTTTGATTAGCGAATTTACCCTAAGTATTAAAATAGGTCACAATTTCACTCACGACATTAATTATTGAATCAATAATAAACTAGGACAAAAAGTAGGCTAAACCGGAAAGTAAGATATAAAAAAAATCACTAGCTATTTTATAGGCATAGACAATAAAAAAATGTGTCATTTATTGATCTCCATCAATTCGGAACCGACATGTCATTTTTGAATTTCGATTAACCTACGTCCGGTGTTAATTTTTAAATCAAAACTTATTGTGCAGTTACCGCACAATTTATAACCTTATTCTGTGAGGTAAAAAAAATACCACAATCACTGTCTACGTTATTGTTGATGCCGTAAATTATATTAAAATTAATAATTTCTTATCTTATTTAAACATGGTAATATAAATCTTTATTTTGGCTCGTGAATCTCTAGAACAAATGCTAGAAGCATATATTAATCAAGGTAAGAACGGAAAAATTTGACAAGATGCTATTCTAAAGTCAAAATCAGGAATTTATTCAAAAAATTATAATAGAAAAAACTATACGAAAATATACATTTCGAACTTTGTGAATTCGTAAAATATCCGCATCTTTAATATCAATAAGAGGAAATTGAAAACAATTGTCTTGTAAAATGATTCGCGTTCGTTAAAACAAACGAGTATTAAAAAACTGTATACTCCAAACCCGATAAAAATGGTCAATTGCGATACTTTCAAATAAACTCTATTATTTACTAAATGAAGTTTTATATATATTGATTTTCCGACGGTCATCGACATGTACCTACAAATAATCAAACACTGGCCTAACTTTACATGATATTAGGTAAACGGAATTACTGTAACTTTCGAGGAAATGAGTTGCAACTATTATATTAGCGTTGATCTAATAACGATATTAGCGATCTAATATATTGAACGAACCATTCATCACCTAAAAAACTCATGATTGTTGCCATTACATAAAGACCAACATTAGATCGTGCTCCATTATTTTCAAGACGATGTAGATACATTTTGCTGATCAGATTTTTTTAGTTAAAAAAAAAACAAATAAAGAGGATGTGCCATACGTCATTTTTTAGCATTTAACTTTTGTAATAATGATTAATGGGTACCGATCCCAAAATAATATACGTTATTCACATGTCGATTCCGAATTGACAGGTGATACGTAACATTTAATTAAAGAGATAAACATTAAATTATTAATTTCCTATCCTTTTGTTTCTTTTGTTTCATCAAATTATTTATTATAAAAATGAATTCATTTTCGTTTAAAGTTTTTGTTTCCAAATTTGTTACTAACTTTCATTTTTGATCATTAATCGTTGCTTTTCATCTCTTTGATCATTTAAAATTGATACGTACGTACAGTACGTATCAGGTATATATATGTATGTAACTGGTAAGGTATATTTATTAAAATTTCTATATTTAGATAGATTTTTGTTTTTGTTTACTGATTTTAATAAATAATAATATATCATTATTGCGTGTAATAACGCCCAGAGGTGTAATTTTGAATTGTGGCCCAATTAAACTTAATTCGGGCCATTATTCAAAATAACGCCCATTGGCGTTATTAGCGCAAATACTGATTAGTATATGAATTCCAAATTGCTGAAACTGCTTGGGGATTTTGTCGTAATAAGTTTCAAAATAACATGATATCATAAAAATATCATTTTATTTATCAATTTATTTTTGATCAAATTTGTAGATCGTTGCTCACCTATACAACCGATCGCACGATTGTACGATTTTCAGTGGAGATTGTACCCGGATAGACATTTTTATTATATGGCTATGATAAATTAACCGGATAATCAAATAGTTTAATACGTAATGCCCGGTAGAAATTTTCTTAATCTCCAATTTTGGCAAATATACTACACCTAACAAAGATTATGAAAATACGTAACTCATTCATATTGAATTTTTACTAAGAATTCCCTTTACAATCACGCAATCGGACGACAATAAGATGATTGTATAAGTGAGCGGTGCTCTCCGCAATTTGATCAAAAATACATCATCTTACAGATCGCAGTAATCAATATCGTAAAAATTATGAATGCACTTTTGTTTTGGTAAAATCTTAAATCCCGATCAAAAACTGCTATCATCAGTTTCTAAAATTCAAATCCAATCAAATTACTTGGATCCGCACATTTGAATTTTAAACACTGACCGTAAATTAGTATTAGTACCGAAAAAGTTTGGGATACATTACTAATACTGATATTGACGGAATGAAATTAGTTTTGACATAACCTTGTTAAATTAATTAATAAAAATAGATTAAATAGTTGAAAATACATACAGTATTTTTTATTATATAAAACTATATATAAAAAAATAATTTAATATTAAAATTGCTTAAAAATCAAAAAATATGTATGCAATATACGTATTTATATTTTATTAATTATTAGTTTGAATACAGTATTTTATCCGGCAGCTTATTATGATTGTGCTGCCAAAATAACTCGAGTTATTTGGCAGTGATACGTCATCTGCCAAATAA